GCCCACCCACCAGCACAGTCATGTGAACATCACCCATGCCTAAGCTCATTTCACAACTTCTTCTCTGGAGAAACCACCATTTATTGGCATATTTAATTATAATTCCAAACTGGATAATAGTTCTCTTTAATGCATCTGGAAGACAGTTTTATGAAAAAATGTGTTTCATTGGGCCATCGGAAAATATCAATTGAAAATCAGGGTCAAATTTTGGGTAATTTTGGACGTATTATTCTGGCCTCAAGGGGTAAATGTAATCCACTTTGATTTGTCAGAGGGCACAAAGTGCCGCATGACATATGCTGCCTGTCCCGACACCCTGCTGAAACAAATCTAATACATTTGGGAGTGCGGTTTGCCACAAAATTAAAAAAGCCTCAAATATTTAAATTAAGCTCATTTTTTAACGCAGCGCGGTGTCTTGGGCAAACTATTCGGTAGTAGAGCTAACCCAGTAGTTGTTTTAATTTCACAGCAGAATACCAACACTACTGAATGATGCTCGGTAGACATTTTCTTGCAAAATCGGGTGTGATTATTCTCTGAACTAGGAATGCTGCGTTAATTTCAACTCATCTTCTGTCAATACCTCCAACTCATTCACTTTTCCAACTGCCTATCATCCAAAATAACTGGACAGATCTAAGGCAACCGGTAGAGAAAAAAAATAGTGCAGATCGATTTGTGAGTAGCCTATAATTTTGCCCCATTCAAAGCTGGTTTAAAATGCCTTCAATGTCGAATGATCCAAATATTCTTCTGCCTATCTACTTGCTGCAATCAGGAAAAGAATCGCAGACAGCCGCAAGCTTTAAGTACCTTCTTGACCTCATCTACATTCGTCGTTGTCCTATTCTTCACTACGCCGAGCTTGACCATCTTAACCTCCTAGACATCTCCTGTGCCAAGGTGGTCACTGTGTGCAACATTCAACAGTGAGGCAAAGAAGACTTCTAACTCGTCCATATCCATCATTGCCACATCTGATTTATTTACTCGTTTCCTTAATCACCCTCCCTGATACATACCGGCCCATCCGTCCACAGGTCGACCCAACCAACCGTTACTCATCCTGGCATAGTCCGC